CTACACTTTATTTCCATCTGGCATTTTCTTGGATAAGTAGTTGCTATCGTTTATTCAGTGCTTGCTGTGTGACAGATATTGGACTAAGGGTTTTACTTCTATCTCAGTGAATGAGTTGTAGATACTATTACTGTTCTGTTTCAAAAGTGTAGAAATTTAGTCTAGAGATATGGGAAGCTTGGTCACAGACTATCACCGGTCACTATTGGTAAGTGGAATTACTAGACGTTATACTGGGCCTTTTTGACTCCTTAGACCATGTTTTCAACCATTATGGAATTTGAGTCCTGACTTAAAATCTGAGACCTGGATTGGAATCCTAGCTTCAGCACATGGTAGCCTTGTACTGTAAGCAAGATAATTTCTCTGAGCCTCAGTGTTCTCATTTCTAAAATGTAGGGAGGAAAATGTTTTATTATAATTTTACCTTTGAAGGGAAAAGATTTAAGAGACTATGTTCAATGACACCAGTAGTGCTAATGATACCATCAGCTTATATTTGTAGAGTGATTCAGACTTTTCAAAGTAATTCTCTTACATAATCTCATTTGATCCTAACAGCTGTCTGGGAAGTTAATCCCAGTGAAAAGAACTCATCAGTAATTCTGTGTGTGTCTCTGGCTAGTCTCTGTTAATTGCTGTCATAAGACATACAAACCAAGCAATAGTGTTTCGGAAAGTGTGGGCTAAACCCATCTTTCATCAGAGTTACCTGGGGTTTCTAGTTAAAACAGAACCATCTTAGGCTTTCTCCTAGACCTGCTAGGTCACCATCTCTGGGAGAGTAGCCTTGGATTTGTATTTCATTAAGCCTCCTGGATATTTGTACATACTGAAAATTAGAACCTCTACCACCCATGGAAGAAACTCATCTTAAATGGTGGTAGCAGCTTGGAAATTCTTTGCAATAGATACATATTAACCAATTTCTTCTGCCTAAGAACTGAGTCACCTGTTAAATTTAGTTCCGCTACAATTAGACGTCGCTCTGCCTTTTTTTCCCATGACAGCTATATAAATAGTATGTTTAATCCTCCCTTCTGTTTCCCCCTTTTGGGCTATTCTTCTAGGCACTTACTGATGTGGACGAGACCTACCGGAAACCTGTTCTAGGGAAAGCATATGAACGGGATTCTTCACTGACTCTCACTAGGGTAGGCAGTTTCCCCTGACTCCTGAGTATCCATCATGCTTCCCAAGTTAGCCTGGTGATCAGGATTTACTAGTGGGAGATCCCTATCGCTATAGGCCAGGGATACCTCTACCAAGGTCTTTATTAGCCTCTCTTTCTATGCTTCTAGCTCTTTTCAAAGGCATCTGTGCTTCTAGCTTGCATATTATTTGAACAACAAGTTATCTCTTACAAGACTTACAAATCTTTTGGCATTGGGGCCAGCATTTGGCATGGTGGGTAAGGTGTTAGGTTCCCACATGGCTGACCATGGTTTAAGTACTAGACCCAGCAGCTTGAAAATCACACCAGGAGCATTTGCATATGTGCCCAAAATCCTAATTGGAGAATGGAGGAGAAGGGAATGTGGTGTGGCCATCTCCCTGAGAGGTGATTTCTCCCTTTCCCTCTCTCCGTCTGTGTCTCTCTCTTCCCAGCAAGTGCATGTGCCCTATTGGGGGAGGGGGGGAATCTTAAAAGAAGAAAAAAAGTCTTTTGGCATTACACCACAGAAAGAAACAGGTACTTTTTCTCTGGAGATGCTTTTGATTTATCTGAGTTATCGCTAGAAATAGAAAAGCCATTACTAACTTTTTTAAAATTGAAAAGGGACCACATGGTGGTATAGCAGTAACACCACTGGACCAGATGGTCAGGTCCTGGGTCTCCCTGTACACACTGATGTGCGTGTATGTCTGTGACCCAGGCTGGCTGAGGCTGGGTAGACCATGGCATGAGGACCCTATTGGGTCCTTGTCTGTCTGTCTGTCTCTCATGGAAGAAATAAATAAATAAATAAATAAAACTTACCTCAACAAATTGGGAAGTAAGGAGGCCAGAGAACATAATTAAGGAATCTAGCCTTTTACCGTACGTTGAAAGGATATTAAAGGCCAAAGAGAAGACTGATATTTGTCATTGCTTTCCTTACAGCTCTTTGATCGGCTGAAACTTCAAGATTCCTCCAAAAAGGAAGCCGATTCCAAGTCTGCAGTGGAAGACTCTACTCTGTCCAGATACTCCCAGACATCCACTTGGAAGGTAGCGTCAGTTTGGGGAAGAGAAGACACTGACCGGGGCTCTCGCAAACGTTCCCGCTCTGTCCCTTCTTCCCTGCAGGCATCTGCAAGGGAGGAGTCCAGGTCAGAGCTGTCAGGGAGGACTACACGGACAGAAGGGTCCAGTGTGGGGGGTACCTTTTCAAGGGCTACCACACTTTCCAGGGGCCAGTCTCGTAAGAAAAAGCGAAAGCCCAAAGTGGATTACCAGCAGGTATTCACTCGACATATTAATCAGATTTTCATTCGAGGCGAGAATGTCCTGCTGGTTCATCTTGCACAGTGACCAGCTCAGCCTCACTTGAGCTTTGGTTTTTAGAAATAAAGTGCATGAATTGCTGCTATGCTGTATCCTAGTATCCCAGTGAAACCCCAAGTTGGAACGATTCCCTCTGGTCCTGCATATGCAGAGGACAGAGCAGGCTCGGCCCTCTGGAAGATGAGCTCAAGGGGAAGACAGGTCTTGGGGAGTGGATTTTTGCATCACTGTCAAGGCCAAAGCCATGCATAGGTACATGCATCTGATCTGGTGTCACAGGTCTACTTCACACTCTCAAACAAACTGTAAGATCTTTCATTAGGAGCTATGTTGTGAATGGAATTCACACTTCAGAGACTATAGGGAAGAAAAATAAAGTGTCTCAGAAAGAATTCTCTCCATTCTAAAAGTTAGTACCTTAATAGTCATGAATTTGATTCTGTGACTATCAGTGTAAATTGCCCTGAAGCTCTGCACCCACAACTTGAAACTGATCTTTGGATTTTGTTCTGCATCATTTTCTCTTGATTAAAAAAATGAAATTCATTATCTTTGGATATCTGCAAGATCTAGGAAAGTTTCTGACGTATGTAGGGGTGAAATTTGGACAGGTGATACGCCCAAAGCAGTCAGCAATGAAGGCTCTGTTTGATCTCTGTCCTTGTTATGGAAAGGAATACAGGACCTCAACAGTCTTCCCCTTACCAGAGGTAACCTCTGCAGATGGCATACCAGGTGGGACTATGAGACGCTCGTGTGGTGGCTTCTTGTCCTCTCTTGACTTCTGTGGCATGGTGCTAGTGCATGTACCCTGTGGTAGTGCCTCTCTGTGTGTAGTGTAAACTGTCCTGTGAGCTTTATGGCAAGAAACTGACCTTCATGTCTGTCTTCAAAGGGTTCTGCATGAACTCAGTAATACACACACTTCACATGGTGAAGAGTGCCCTTTCCAAGTGGGGCCAGCCTTGTGTAGAATATCTTTCAGAATGGTTTTACCACGAAACAGGGGTGGTAGTTTTATTCCCTTGTGTCAGGCCAAAGAGGTTCTTACAAAGTACACTGGGTAGTTTCTAAAGGGATGCTTTACTCGCAGCCTGGCGTGAGTAACAGGAACACCGTAGCTCCCACGAATGCTTCTACTTGAATCATATTTTGTGCTTTTGCAATCACCAATGCAGGATAGGCTGCATCTTGACACAGACTGTTAGGCAATATTCATTTATTATTTCCTTAGTTTATATTTGTTTTTATTTTGGATAACTTACGTTCAAAGTAAGAACAACTAAGTAGTTAAAACGTATGAAAAGAAAAATTCCCCCTGCTGTATTTGCTGTGTAACTTAGATAAGACTTCTGAGAAGCAGGGTGAACAAAGTTCAGGCAGCTGGGATGCCTGGTCCTTCTGCTAGCTGGACCACTGACTCATCTTACAGTGAAGGTGAGCAGACTTGACCCCTCCGTGCCTCAGCTTTTCCCCATCAGACACCTACCTCACAGGGCATTGAGATAAAGAACTTTAGGAAGGCATTTTACAGTCGCTAAACATGTTTAAGTGCCATGAGTAACTTTTACTAACTCTCTTTAATAGCTTTGTAAAAATTCCGTGTCTTATGAGTAAGGCAGGTGCTACATAAGAAAGTAATCTTCATAGGTGTCGTAATTATGATCTTGTCACTATCATCGGAAGGCAGTGATATCTTCAGGAGCTCTTTTCTGTATTCCATTTCTTCCTCCTAAGGGACAATGGAAGCTCTCAGAAGAGAGCTTTAGTAAGAGGAGAATAACTTTTTGCTGCTCCCTCCACTTCCCAGCCCCTATTCTCTTCTGATCATTACTGGAACCTCCCTGAACTTTTCAAAAGATTTATATGAGGGTACTAAAGGGAGAATGAGCATCTAAAAATGACATATCGCTGAAGGGGAGTTTGTAGAAGTTTTTGTTTATTTGTTTACTTGTTTTTATTTTCACATGCATTTTGAGGTATACTCTAGAGCCAGATCAGAAGCACTAAAGTTTATAGAGCTTCCAGGATGCAAACTCAAGTGAACAATGAGCTTTAGAATCTGATAGCCTAAATTCTCCTCAGAAAAGTGTGTCCGGAATCTCAGTTCCCAAGTCAGTAATCATCTCGTTTAATGAGGTAGGTATATAGGTATCAGACATTTCTGCCCATTCCTCTCCACTAGTCTCCCCTGCGTGGCTGTCCTCATCTGTCTGCCCCATTGTCCCTTAGCTAGAAGCTGTCAGGGAAACTGTACTTTCCCAAAATGCAGAAATTTGGAATCCTAAGAAATATAGCCTGCCTCCATTTATTCCAGCACCTGATTAAATCTAACCTATTTTCAACACATGCCTCTTTTCATGTTCATGTATGAGTTCATGTATCCAGATAATGACTGATTTACTATTTCCTGCCCAATAATCCTTGCTTTAACAATTCTTTTAAAACTATGCAGGATCAATCTGATGTGCTATATGCCCCCTCTTTATTCATTTGTTTTGGACAGTGATTCTGGAACACTATCTATTAGGTGAATTGTTTTATATAAAGCATGATAGTTATTTTTAGAGAAGCCAATTTTTAAAAATTAATGCTGTATTACTGGAGAATTGTTTCAAAAGAAAGAGCTTGGTCTTAATAATATGTTTGCTGCTCGAAAAATGTCATCATCTAGGACATTATTGTTAGTTCCTATGGAAATAACTGAAGTCTTCCTCAGGAAAAGGAAAGAAAGAGGGAAAATAAGAGTCCTGCAAACCCCTCCAACCAACACACCAGAGAGGGGCTCTACACAGCTGAAAATCCTGGAATTTGGGCTTTGGAAACTGGGTTAAGAATAGTACTTAGTTTTGAGCATCTAACTTTGTTCTTCAGAGTAATCTCTAGACACCAGAGTATGTTTCCAAGACAATTCACAGGGCATACCTTTGCACTTGCTGATGTTGTCTCAGGAGCGTCCAGCTCGTTGGATAATAAGAGATTAAGAAGAGGGAAGATACGATTTCTCACATAGACCAGCTTTATGTGCCATTCTTTGACATAGTGGTGGTTCTTCTATTCAACCATTAGTAGAACTTACGCGTTGAGCTATTGGTTCTAGTACTTGAAAAGTGTTCGTACTCCCTCTCAGGGACCCCTTGTGAGCACAGGCAGCTGTTTGTGAGATGGTTAGCCAGAGTTAGCAGCCTCTGGAGCAGGTGGCTTTAGACAAGTCTGGACCTTTCTGTGTGTGGCGTGTGTTGAGTCAGAAAGCTAGATACCATTAGCATTAAAATCTAGGCACACAGAGATCCTTCCTGTGACTTGTTAGTGGGTCAAGAGTGGCTCCACCTGTCTCATGGGGAGAGTCCAGGAGTACCCTTAGAGACTGTCAGGTCATGAGCGATGGGTTGCCCTTAATCCTCAGAAGCCTTACAAAGATCTAGCTGTACTACTTCTATCCCTTGAGAAAAAAGAAATAGAAACCTAACTTGATACAGAATGAATATTTGTATTTCTATTTGCACTATTTCTATAGCAGCTTCAAAGTCAAAAATCATGAAACAGAATCAGTTCCGTACATTGCTTCTTTAAATTTTCTGATTTTTGACTTTAGGGGGGGAAAGTAACATTTTTCAAAGACAGCTAGCTGTCACTGGTGCTGCCCCAAAGCTTTCTAGTGTTTTATGTATTCTGTGAATGAAATAGTTGCCATCAGAAGGTCAAGGTTCATGGAAGAGAAGAGTATCATGGTATAAATATAATGGTTTTGCAGCTGTTTTTTCTTTTTCTTGTGTCAGATAGAGCCTACAGACGACCCTTTTCTGTAACTTATGTTTACCAGTCTGTGTTTTTCTTCTCCCAGAAGGCTTTTCTAACTGGTTGCAAAGCAAGAAAATCTTATCTGGGCCTGTGTTGTAAAGGTGGGCTGTCTGTCATTACTTTTTGGTAAATTGAGGTGAAGGGTTTAAGATAAGCCTTTGGGGTTCCTGTCACAGTTTTCTGGGCTCTGAGGAAGGGTTGAATCTCCTTTACTCTCAGTGTTGTGAGTGTTTTTCAAATGTTTGTAAGTTCTCTTGCACTCCTCTAATAAAAATGAAAGCCCTCTGTCAAGACATGGCTTTGGATGGTTTGAAGATCTGAGGGAGAAAAATAAGTACACCTGAGACCTTCAGTTGGTCTTTTATTTATTTAGAATAAAAAGTAGTTTGATAAGCTACCAGACTTCGTGCTTCTTTAAAAATACTCTCTGAAAAGATGGGAACTGTCCCTTAGGAAAGCTATAAAAGCTATTCCCAATACATTGCAATTGCTTTTGATTTTTAGTCCTTTGGAGCATATGTCTGATGTTACCTTTTTAAAGCTGTGGGTAAAAAAAGGTCTGAAAAATTTTAGGGGATATTACTTAAACACTGATTATCTCACCGAATTGTGTATGATCTAGTGTCTAGGGCAGCTGTCCACTTCTTTTCCTGTTGTCCTAACAGTAAAGCAGAGAGTACACCATGTCGTAAAAAGTGATTTGCTTATTCCAGACTGACATCTAAAGATACCAGCCTTCCATTTGGCAACCCTGGGGATAACCCTCTGCACCGTGACTTATTAATGTTTTTTTTTAGACAAGGCTAAACCTGGATGACTGTTGTACCTATAGTTTCACTATCCATACCAGCTGCTAAAAGAAAAACCATGACTTGTAACCTTGTCTTTAAATTACTAATTATAAGTTAACAAAAACCCTTCCCGTTTAGGGAGGATTGCTGCTAGTAATGTCAGTTTGCAACGTTCTGCTGTAGTTATGTGTTGTATGGGAGTCTGTACGGAAACTTTAATAAATATGATTGTATTCATGTTCTGGCTGCTTTGTCTCTGCTGATTGTGGGGGATGGTGGGCAGAAGTCAGGGGAGTCCATTACCCAGTGAAGACATCTATGGAGAAAGTTAAAACCTCTTGTGCCAGCTCGTGGTGTGGAGGTTAAGGCAGCTGGATCCCACAGAGCTGACTATGCAGTTCAAGTCCTGGATTCATTGGCTTGAGAAACATGCTAGGCGCTTGTGCAGGTGTGTCCAAAATCCCCAGAGGAGGAAAAGGCAGAGAAGGGATTG